CTGGGTGGGGTGTCAAACAACCTATCAACAGCCATTGTCCAGCAAGGGAGCTACAATTCAATGACTCACCTGCATACGGCCACAGCAGGGGAATTGCTCAACCTTGCCTGGGGAGTGGGGACTCAGCAATGCCCACCAGATGTGCCTGGACTTGTGTTCTCCAAGCACATGGACTAAGGGTATAAAATACAACACAGTAGCCACATGCTTGGTCTTTTCTCCTTGCCCCCCCCCCCCCCCCCCCCCCCATGCTGCAAGCAATAAGGACACTCACTGAAGACTCCAGCGGAGGAGGCTGGCCCAGGTTTAAGGGATAAACCTGTATATTAAGAACTACAATATCCAGTGGGGTAACTAACTCTGACTTTTTGTCAATCACTTAAAATCTATCTTTTGGAGTCAATACATTTGTTTTACTGTTTATCTTTACCAGTGAGTTTGCCTGAAGTGTGTGGTAAATCCGCTCCGGTTTGCAAAAGCTGATGTATATCCACTTTCCATTGATGAAGTGGTGAACCAATTAATAAATTTGCACTGCCCATCTTGAGCAGTGCAAGATGGTATATTCCTGAGCTGGGGGGGTTCGGCTGGTGCTTTTCTCTGTGTGATTCATGAGTGGCTCTGGGAGCATTCATGCAATCTAGCTGGGTGCGGGGCTCCATATACTGTTGTGCTGAGTGATAACAGCGCCTGGAGGGGTTTGCTGCTTGTCACTAGGAAACAGGGCCGCCCAGAGGATTCAGGGGGCCCTTGGACAAAGCAATTTGGGGGGCGGCCCTTCCATTTAAAAAAAAGTTACAACACTATAGAATACTATATTCTTGTGGGGGCCTGGGGCAAATTGCCCCACTTGCCCTTCCCCGCCCCCCGGGCGGCCCTGCTAGGAAAGCATTGTGAGAGACAGCCCGGACTGGGGAGTTTAGGGGGCACAGTGGTCCAACAGTCCCAGGCTGCACCCCAGGGATCCCGTCACAGGAAGTATTTCCATTGTCTTCAGTGTTGTTTTCCAGTGTTCTTACTGTAGCCATAGAGCTAGCTCAAAGGCATGTTACTTATAAGTGACACAAGAAACCTAGTATCAGAGGGGTAGCAGTGTTAGTCTGGATCTGTAAAAAGCAACAGAGAGTCCTGTGGCACCTTTAAGATTAACAGATGTATTGAATACCCACGAAAGCTTATGCTCCAATACATCTGTTTGTCTTAAAGGTGCCACAGGACTCTCTGTTGCTTTTTACAAGAAACCTAGAGATCTATATCATGTAAAGCATTAGCTTAAGCGGTTAGCATAAGGCTTTAAGGCTCTGAGCCTTAGCATAAGAAAGTGGCTCAACAGGAACCCTGAGTTTTGGGGAACAGGGAACGTTGTGCTTCGGGGGAGGGTTTGTACAAAACAATACCAGGTAACTGCAGGAGCACTGAACTGATACTAGGCTTGGATATTGTGATAAATGAAGTGGGGGGCAGGTAGTTCCCTTTTTATGGACATCCAGCCAGTTAGCTATAAAATCCCTTTTAGTAGTTCTCTACTTGCTTTACCTGTAAAGAGTTAAAAAAATCTCCCTGCATAGATAAAAGGAAGGGAGTGGGCCCCTGACCAAAGGAGCGGGCCCCTGACCAAAGGAGCCAATGGGAGGGCTAGAACTTTTTAAAATTTGGGGGGGAAAAAACTTTCCCTTTGTCTGTCTGTCTGCTCTCCAGAGGGAGGGGACAGAGCAGAGACAGGGCTGGAACTATGCTATAAAAAGCTTTGGCCAGGTATGGAAAATCATCAGATCATACCCTGAAACTACTCATTTGAAACCCCAGATAAGTAAATAGATCAGGAAATGTCTAGGAAGATGCGATTAGGTTTATCTCTTATTTCTCTATGGCTTGTGGACT